CCATAACCAGTTGGTTTTGTCCCTGTTCTCCCAGCTTCTGGAGCACATGCTCTTTGCCTGTGAAATGGCAACTCTCTTATGTTCCATGTGCCCACCAAGCCTTCTCTCCTACACAGCATCCAACTCCCTGGATCTGCCAAAATGACTTGGACAGGGTGAATGCTCATGTAGCAGGAGTCCATGAATGAGTGGTATTTGTCAAGGACAAGGCTCACAAATATCATCTTTCTAAAACCAGATGAACTATCAAAGTTGATTAGAACCATCAAAATTTATCCAACTAAACGGATCACAAAATACTCCTCTCCCTTCTTTGATGGTATTTTAAAGTGTGTTTAAAGGTCAATAAGTAGTATTTTTAAAGTGCATTTGCTGATTATCTAAGATCTCACCTGTTAGACCTCTTAAGTTGAGGAACTTTTTGCATTCAATGTCGTGGTCCCTTACCTAGCACAGGCACGCCAATGACATGCAGCAGGTGTGCAGGAATGTCTTGTGTGAATATTCTCGAGCAGCCCCAGATCCTTCCTGTGCATGTCTCCAGGGAGGTGTCTCTCCTTCTGAAGTAGACAACTGGGCTTTCTTCATTTCACAGTTTTGCTCTTTAAAATATTCCATAGGCTGTAGAGAAGGTTTTTTCTAAGCTAAATATTATTTTCTGTTTGTTTCTACTTTCAGGAAATAATTTCAATTTTCTGAGATTTTAATTAATATGTAATAAATTGCTTATGATTATTGAAAAGAATAAATTCTACATTGCTACTATTAGAGAAAACAAACAAGCATCTTCCACCTATTCTTTGACTCAACTTCAGATAAATTTTAAACATATAAACTCACCATTTTAGTAAATCTGTGTACAATGTTGGACATTGAAATAAAATCTAATTGAGCTTATTTGATAAATGACTTCAGTTTATTTTTTTTTCTTTAACTGTTTTTTATTCTGAGCATTTTTTAAAAATTAAGGTTTACTCTTTTTATAATCAATATTTTTTATCATGATATTGTGGGATACAGTTAAGGGTTAGGTATACAAATATGCTTCGTTCAGGCACCCTTGTTGATAAGAGGTGTCTCCCATCCCCAGACAGATATTTACTACCGTTAATCCCAGCTCCCTTCTCCTCCCCCCATAGTTTCCCACCATTGTCAGTCATTTTCTTATAGTATTACGTTGGATGTTCAAGGTCCACTCAGTATTATAGACTCTAGTTCCATCCAGGTTACTGCGAAATTCATGATTTTGTTCCTTTTTATGGCTGTGTAGTATTCCATCGTGTATATGTACCACATTTTGTTAATCCAGTCCTTTTTTGATGGGCAGCATGGTTGCTTCCAGGTTCTTGCTATTGTGAACAATGCTGCGATAAACATACGTGTGCAGGTATCTTTTTTATAGAGTGATTTGAGTTCTTCAGGGTATATTCCCAGTAGGGGGATTGCGGGGTCATATGGGAGGTCAATATTTGGAGCTTTTAGGAATAGCCATACTGTTTTCCACAGAGGTTGCACTAGTTTGACTTCAGTTTATTAATTCTCTTTAAGTGGTGCCTGAATATGTTTCCTCTCATTACTAAAAAAAGCGTCTATCTGGTGGAGGAGTGTTGTGTGCATCCATTGTGGTAAGTGGAATTAACAGGACACACGGAATGAACAGGATCTCGTTGTCTGATTTCCTCGCCCAGCTCCCCTAGGTCAAGACTCCTAGCATGAGCTGCTCATTCCCTCACCCACCAGTGCTCTCCTTTGTGGTACAAGTCATGATGGGGAATGCTGGAAAGAGGCAAAGAACAGTAGACAAGGTTCTCTCCTGGAGAATCTTGCTGTTGATTGTCCTTTGGTCAAAGACAAGCTCAGCTGTCCAGTCACACTCTCCTCCCTGCTGCATCCAAGGCAGGTTCGAATCACCCCTTTATTTGGGAGAGTGAGTGACTGCTCCCCCCTCCCCAGGATGGGGCCCCTGCGCTCCCACAACTGATGGCCTGCACAGAGGAAGTACTGTTGCCACAAGCAACCATTTCAGCCACACCTAGATTTATCTGTTGGGCTTCTTTTCTCACATCCTCTTGGTACAGTGAGAGACTCAGTCTAACAAACCTTTGGATGTTTTCCTCATTTTGAAGACACACAAACAGATATCGTTGGAGGGGTTTTACTGCTGATCATTTCAGGGAAAAATAACAGAAATAACTGATATAGAATGGGAGTTTCAAAAATCTTACCAAGGTCTACATTCCAGGTACTTTTGAGATACATGCATCTCTGCTGAATAAAAAAAAATAAGCAAACGTTAATATTTTTATGTCAATGCTCCCCAATCCCCTAAAGTGCCTCCATGAAGAACCTTCTCTCCAGCACAGGTACTGGTATCTTGTTCCAATTCCATCTCTGTGCACCCCAGCCTGGCTTCTTCCAGTCTAAGGCGACCACTATCTAGTCCACGGAGATCCCTGGGGTGAAATTCTGCATCTGATAGCTCACAGGCAGTATTGTTTAGAAAACCTACACCCGCCCAGGCTAATGGCATGCTTGTTGCAGGGTGGGTGTCCCTGTTGAGAGCACAGAAGGGGAAAGAGTCCATGGCCCTGGGTAGGACCAGAGGTGGGAGCAACTCTCTCTGCTTCCTCCCTCTCTGCAAACTTCCAAGATCTGGAACTGAGCAGGTGGTGGCCAAGCACTGCTCCTGCAGATAAACAGCATGTGCGGTGCCCCTTGGAGGAAAAGCTGAGATTCATTGTTCATTGCAGTGGCTGGAGGGAGCAATTATTCACTGGCTCTTGGAAATTTTTTTTCCAGAAACAGAACACAAGTGGGATGTGTGCTTAATTGGGTCCCGCTACACTCTCTCCTCTCAAATGCAACGTTTCCTCTTCCTGCAGCTTGAGTTGTGTTTCAGAAATCAGTCACTTTTCTACCTAGAAATCACTCTTCCTGTCACCTAGAGCGAAGTTGAAATTCTTTAATGTGACATATGAAATGCCATACTGGCCTGACTCTAGTCAGAGCTCTCATTCAGCACTGGGTCTAGGTTCCTATTACGGTAAGATACAAAATTGATAGTGACAGTGATGATAATGTCAGGGCTTCATCTGGTACATGCTTAACATGGTTCACCTTTCTCAAAACACTTCAGGTACTAGTATTTCTCCTGCTTTTTGCCTGAAAAACTTTTACTCATTCTTTGGGGCCCAATGGAAATGCATGTTCCCTTCACTTCCTGTAATAATTTTGATTGCTGCTGTAATAGATTGCCAAACATTTAGCACCTTAAACTAACACTCTTTTTTTTTTTAATCTCACAGTTCTGTTAGGTCAGAAGTGCAGGTACAGTGGGACTTGGCTGGGTTTTCCACTGAAGGCTCACAGGGCTGAAAGCAAAGTCTCCACAGATCTGTGATCATTTTCCAAAGCTCTAGGGGGTTAAATGTGCCTCCAGGCTCACTCAGTCCGTTGCCCAAATACAGTTCCCTGTGGTCGTAGGACTGAGTTCCCAGTCTTTGGACTTTCTGTGGCGCCAGGGATCTCCTATTCCCTCTTATGTTTCCCTGTATCCCCTTCCATCAAGATGATGAAGTCCTTCTCAGGCTTTGAATCCCTCTGCTTTTATCTCTCTCACTTTGTCTCCTGCTTCCAGCTGGAGAAAGTTTTCTATTTTTGAAAATGCCTGTGATTAGATAGGTACCACCCAGACAATCAAGAATAATCCCCTTGATTTTGGATCTACACTTGTAATTCCATGTACAAAGTTCCTTTTGCACATAGGGTAGCATACTGGTAATTAAGGTGTTACCTTGTTACCTAGCATCCACTGCCCAACAAACATCGAGTTCAACACCAGGGCACCACTTTTGAGAAAATTAAAGCTTTATTATAAATTGACTGACAAGAAAACAAGAGAAAACCTCAAACCTGTTTCCTAGAGCTGAGAGTTTGGAATTTATAGGCTTACGATCATGACGCGTGATCTGATTGGATCTTACAATGAGGTGACACTGAAAGGTAAGCCCTTTGTGTGGCTTAGCCCTTGATGTCTCGGGACTTTCCCACCTGGGATCCTAGCCCTGCTCAGAGCGCCACGTGGGCCTGAGCCCTTCTCAGTCAGAAGTCTTCTCTCCCCACTTTACCTCCTGTTCACCCCACTGGATGCTAATAATGAAATTAAGTGTCATGTGGAAGGTAAGGCACAAATTGACACAGCGACAGATTATTCCTCTACAAACTAGTTTTTGAGCACTTCATGGAGGAAACCACAGACAATTAATATAGTGCTAGAAGAGGAGGTAGGCTTTGTACAGACGAAGGAGGTGGCCTTCTGGGCACAGGAATGGGACAGGGGGGGAATTGTGGGCCTGTTGGAACAAGTGACTGCGAGACCACAGAATGACCTGCAAGGTAGTGGCAGGGACATGAACTGCTCACAGAGGAGATGGCCTCCTCTCAGAAAGGGCTTCACTCGGAACCCCGGCCCCAAGGCGTCCTGGTGGAGGTTGAGAGTCTCACGGCAAATCAACCAACAAACAAATGGACCACCATGTTGTCATGAAAGGTCTGAAACTGGGTATAGCACAAAGTAGAAGGTTATCATTTTAAAGTGACTTTATTGTGGGAAGGGACTTTAGTCAATTTTAAGGAAACCCTTTAAAAAGAGGCCTCCTGCCCGGACCAGGACTTGGCAAGGAGAGGCCATGTGGGTGGGGGGGAGTCTGAATCTACCCCACCAGAGTGACCAGTAGTGTCCTTCAGTCACAGAACTGTTTGCTTGTTTCTCCGTGGGAATGTGGGTGTTTTATATTATTATCATCAGAAAAGGAGACAAGCTGATTTCCAAAGAAGAATGGGAGAGTATAGTGTCTACCCAGTGTATAGTTGTGAAAATGGTCATAACACCCGGCCAGCATCTTGAAAGTCATTGTACTTTGTCTCTTCAGTCAGGGCTTGTATCCATAATGCAAAATTTGTGCTCGCTGTCTAACAATGTGCATTTTACTTCCAATTAGGTGGATGCGCACGGAAATATTCTGTTAACATCGCTGGAGGTTCACAATGAAATGAATGAGGTTGCAGGCAGTGTGGGTGATACCAGGAATTCAGCAATATCCTTTGACAACTCAGGAATCCAGTACAGGAAACAGAGCATGCCTAGGGAAGGGCATGGGCGATTCATGGGGGACAGAAGCCTCCCGCACAAGAAGACCCATCTACGGAGGAGGTCTTCGCAGCTCAAAATTAAAATTCCTGATCTAACCGATGTGAATGCCATAGACAGATGGTCCAGGATCGTGTTTCCTTTCACTTTTTCTCTTTTCAACTTAGTTTACTGGCTGTACTATGTTAACTGAGTGACTGTACTTGATTTTTCAAAGACTTCATTTAACACTGAGTGAAATATTACTCTGCCTGTCAAGTTTTTATACCTGTACACACACAGACACACACACGCAGACACACACATATATACATACGCAATTGTATATATATGTGAACTTTCTCAGCATATATATAAAATACACATGTATATGAGGATGTATGAGTATATGTTTATACACATAGGTCTCAGTACCCATGTGTATGGAAAACAAATACACATACATATATACATTTTACAGCTATGGACAATTGAACACAGGATGCATATTAAGGAAAGTTATAGATTTTTTTCTCTTTTAATTGAAAGGGACAATTATCATCTAAGTATTATGCCTTGAGAATGAGGGCGTGAAACACAATATCATTCCAAAATGTGTCTTTTATTCTCATAAAGTAGATATTTTAGTTTAAGAATCAGAAAGGCATTCTTAATTAATCTTTGAAAATCATACAGTGGTATTGCTAGCTTAAAATGAGTCACATATTTCATACCCTCTCTTTGAGTTTACTAAGTGAAGGCTTTTTGGCTTTTCTGATGGTGGGGTCTGTTTCATCAGGCATACTATTTTGGTAATGGGCTAGCGAATGAGGTGAGCTGCTGGCAGTGCACTCACCTGTCGTTTTAAACACAGATAGATCCCACGTTGGTTTATGAACGACCATCTTTTAAAAACCCATCAGGAGTGAATGGCCTCCCATTGTAAGGACTCTAATATACACTGTGTGGGTTTTTTGTTCATTTGGAGTGGATCCAGCTTAACTGCCATGTGGGAACACAGTGGCACATTTTGGCAATGACATTTCAATCACTGAAAATGTGCTCTACAGGCCTGATATCTAACAGAAAGCATAGACGTCTCAGGTTATTTGTTACTCTAAGGTAAAACCATCTAGGGTGATTTTCCCCCTTGCAGTTATGTTATCAACCATTCTTATAACATTGTATGTTAATAGAAAATATATTTGCATAATATGCATATATATGTATATTTACCAAGATTTTGTTTCTTACGCTTGCTATCATGGCAGCATGCGATGTCATATTTTCCTTTAAGTGATGTAACTACTTTTTGTTATCTAGAAATTAGGATTGAAGCTAAAACACTTCTACTGTTCAATTTCAGAAACTAAGAAACATCCTCATGCCTTTATTTCTGTATCTGACATATCTCATAAGCTCATCAAACTACTCCTAGACTGACTAGGATTCTGCAGGAACACGACTCGTACACACCACACGTCACCCAACGACCCATGACAGTTCTCTGAGGCGAAGGAGGGCAACCTGACAACAAACACATACACTTTGGGCTCCTTCTGATCCACGGCCTCATCAGTATTTGGACTTTTTAAAGCTCGCAGAAACAAGACAAGGTGCACCGGTTTCATAGACGCAAACTTAACTTACTATTTAGATGAGATCTTTCTAAAGAAAAAAAAAGAGATGATATATTTTTTGTAAACAATATTTCTATCACAGGCATCCATAAACTGAAATGACTACAGTTTTGCAAACAGGTGTCACAGTGACGTTGAGCATTTGGAGAAAAAAACAAAAAGCAAAATATGTAGGAAGAACTGCTAAATTAATCCTTTATCCCAAAATGCCACATATGTCTCACCCTCTGTGTTTTATGCAAAGCTAAGAACCATAATCTAGTCCAGTACTCTAACACCTGGCCCCAGTTATCTCCACGTAGGTAGAGGCACCACCCTCCCTGAGGATGTATGTGGTGTGAACTACCGCCATGAGCTGACCGCTACTTGATTTTTCTTTGGTGGCTGTAACAACCTTTAATTTGTGGGCATCTCTAACGTTCAAAACTCACCATCAGATAAAACATAATCCACAAAATCTCATGCTGGAGGCAACTTCCAATTTGTATACCCCTTTTCCTCTTTCATTTGTATTGTTCTTCTCCCAACTGCTGCCCTCTGGTTTTATTTCTCTCTGGAGACTAGCCAGTGATTTATTTGGCTTTGGCTTTTCTCTGGCATTTTTTTCATGGGTAACAATGGGGGATCCAAAAGGTTAAACAGATTGGGAAAAACCTTGTAAGTGGCCTTATCATTGTTAACATGTTAAAGAAAAAAGACATTTGCAAAGACCTTATCCCTTTCAATACTTCAGGTGTCTTTTTCTGCATCCAGTAATTCAAGGTGTGAACTCCACATGCAGAAGAGGGACCCCAAAATGCCAATGAACGTGGAAAAAAGCAGTCAATGGTCTATTTAAATGTATAATTTATACTATCTAGAACTGTGACATTAGTTCTTTCTGGGAGAAAAGTGATTTAGAACTTTTTTGATGCATAGTTGAGGTACCCAAATATCAAAGGCAGAGATCCCCTTAGGGGGCGCAGAAGAGCTGCAGTCTACTTCCCAAGGTTTTCTGGATATAAATTTGCATGGTATAGTCATAATAGCTTTTGAGCTTTTTATATGCATTTGGCACCAAGACTGGGATCCACCACTTTGTAGACACTGCGATGAAGTTAACATACTAGCTATACTATAAATAGTGTTTGTAACTACACACACACATGCAAACACACACACAAATACATACATATATTCTGTAAAAACAACAAAAAAAGAAAACTTTTTAAGATCCTTGGGTATGTGTTTGCTTTACTCCATTTCAGAAGTAAATTACATTTCTTCTAACAAAATTATTTTATAGCTTCTCCATTTTTAAAAGTTGTGAGGAGTATTGAGAAGAGAACTCTGCTGATAGAAGATAGTTGAATTTGATTCTCTGTTCTGTTAAAATGACCTCTCATTACTCCACAGTAGTTATTTGAGCCAGTGAGTGAGCCATGCTGAGAAATGCAGTGGCTGTTACCCACACCCAGACCTCTTGAGTCAGGAGAGAAATCTATAATTGGGGATATAATGAGATTTTGTTCTCAAGAAATGAAAAAAAGTTGATCTTCTAAGTAGTCCTGTCTTTCCAAAATGCTTTCATGGGGGTTCAAATTGTACAGAAGAATCTTGCTATGACAGTTTGTTATATATGACAGTTACTCATGTTCAGATATGCTTGAGACAATTCAAGAGCCCTACTACATAACTAACTCCCTACAGAAAAAGACTGATAAGACTTGAGTTGTCTTTAAAACAAGTGTTATTCCTATTCACCAACCCCAGGACTATAGAGGGGTTTCACTGTCTATACCATGAGAACTTCAATTACCCCTGAATTTCAAATGAACTAGATAGTATGTCATAATAATGCTTCCATTGGGTTTGAGAGTTACATGTACATCTGCAATGTCATGTGTTTTTAATGCCAGCGCCCAGAACTTTGACATGTTCAGTCACTCCCATCAAAGGTTCTTCTCTCCTATCCAAACATGACATTGACATTTTCACCAAGGAGATCATCTCAGAGGTGATGCCAACAAGTTTGGGACTGGTTTGAAGGGGACAGGCACATTGCAGTTGTAGGTATTCATTTCAGCATCTAATAGATCATCCACTGATGTTTGTACCACAATGGTGTGTTCCAAAAAAAGAATGTGTCTAATTTTGAATCTCCTGGCTTGAAAGTATAAACCATTCCATAACTCTTGCTTTAATGCCCAACTTGAAAACAACCAGTTCAAATTTCTGGCCATTTTATGTAAGCAAAACTGAGCAATTGGTGAAATATTGTGTTGCTCTTAGAATTGACTCTGGCTCTTATCTTAGTGTGAGCCATTGGTCAGAGTAAGATTGAATCTTGGGGCAAAGAGCTGCCCAGGTGGACTAAATTTTTTCCAGGACACTAGCTAGTGTGCCTTGGATTGATTACCTCTTCTATTGCATTGAAAGGTGCCATGTTTTCCTGAAATACTAAATTTCCAACACCTGGGTAAACAATGACCTCCCAGAGAGTGGTTCACATAGGCCTCTCCCTCAGGCCAGCCCCATGAATATGTTTTGTCATTCTCGTCTCAAGTTTCTACTTCACAAGTCAGTGAGTGTGTTTAAGGTAAGTACAGGATTATTCTAGTAGGAATAGGCGATTGCTGTCATGATCAATTTCCATGTTGATTTCGTTTTATTGTAAAGATAAATTTAAACACAGTTTTGCTTAAGCACATTGATGTAACTTTTTGGTATTATTTGACATGAAAAAAAAACAACAAAATTGAGTGATAGATACAATATGAAACTTGTTGATGAATGAATTCAAATTTATTAAAAAAGGACTAACTGACTTAAATGTGAAGACTGATTTTTTTTCTTCCTTGGTTATTTTAATTTCAGTCATTTTTAGTAGCACATGCCCATCTGTGTTACTCTGAAAGTTTAAAAAAAAAAGTCCTAAATTGACTGCATGTGAAATCAATTGAACTATGACTTTAAAAAAAATCACAATTCTGAAATTCAAACGATAACTAAGCACACAGAGATCTAACTTGTCCCTTCAAATATAAGTGTTTTAAGAAAGAAATATTTTTGTAATAAAGGCCAGGAAAACTTTTAATACAATAAGCTCTGGCCAAGGTAGTATTGATCCTTATCTTTAGTTCTTCAGTATTAGAAGACAAATTCTCTGTTTTCTCACTGGAGGTGAGAAAGTACCAAGTGGTGTCTCACAATGAATGAATGAATAAGTAAATGAATGAATGAGTGAGTGAATTAGTGAAACCAGATCCTTGGACACCTAATATCAGACAGAACTTTTATAGAGAAATATATCTCTAGGCATCCAGGGAAGCTGTTGGCTCACCTGCAAACACCTTAAAAAGGAAGCTCCCCAATCATAAGTCTTATAAAATGCCCTCATCTAGCTAGTGTTTTACAGCAAGTTTACCTCCAAATTTCCTTAAAAGTTATTCGGCAATTCTTTATGGGTTCTGTTTTCATTCTTTTTCCCTACAATATGGACACGTTTTTTACATTCTTAGTCTACTTTGGGACCTGGCTTGGAAAAATTCCACACTAATTTTTTTTGTCTAAGAATAGAACATCACCATGGGAACATTTCTCACCTACTTCACTAGGCTGAAACTATCCACCCAGGGGACAAATTTAAATGACCAATAACTGCGGAAGAGAGAAATTTTGGTTGAATTTTGATTGAATTATTAAAGGCTTTTTTCAAAAAGCCCCTTGTTTCTGATGGACCAAGGAAACCTCCCTTATTGCGGCATCCAGGGAATCTGCCCCATCCACTCACTCCCGACCTGCAGCTTGCCTGCCTGCATCCACACGTGGCGCCATCTTACAATTCTTGCTCTAACTTCTATTATACCAGCTTCTAAAGGATAGAGACGCTCAACACTCTTCTGAATGGGGACATTATTCTTTTAAAAAATGGACTCTTTGGAACCCATGATAACACTTTTAAGGTAGGACATTTTGCTCCATGCTGCAAAACTGCAAAACCAGCAGCGGTTATTAGCTGAGGTACTCCTGCATTAGATAAGAGATTTGCGCTCCGTGGCTTTTGCTCTTTATAGGAACAGATCCTATTTAGAATCAATACACAAGTATTGTAGAGGACACTTGTAAGTAAGATGTAATGAACTGAAATGGCATGCTGGGTGTGGGTGTAAGTGTGTGCATTTTGAATCCAGATAGGAAACTAGTGAGTGGCTCTCGGAGCCAGATGCCATAAGAAAATATCTTCACACCTTAAATCTATTTCTTATTTCAGTAGGTACAACACTTGTCTTTTGACTCTGTTTCTTAGATAAAAGCATGAACACCGTATCCTTCCATGCATTTCTCCTTCTCCTTTTTCATTTCCCATCTTGTTAGCTGCAGCTACAATGTTACATTATCAAGGTTGAAAACATTTACACTCTGCCTACAATCATGAAATTATATTTCAGCATTTAGTATTATCGTCACAGACTGATTCTAAAAGTTGAAAACTAATGAGCAACTCATGTTATTGAGCTTTACTATTTAAGTATGGTTCAAGGTTGAGTATTTTGTTCAAATGTATAAAGATAAACTTTAGCAGAAGAAAAGAAAAAAGCAAAAATACTGTAGATTTTGTTGTTGTTTTTGCCTGGAAAGTGGAATCAGTGGATATCATGTGAGAAAAGAGATGTGTCCTGTCAGCTGTTACTGCATTGTTGAGATTGAGAGGTTTTACATCTGGCACTCTAACTTCAGCCTTGAGGATTTTACTTATAAGTAAATTCTAAAAGTTGAAAACAAATTCACAACTTTAATGTTGTTAAGATTGTATAAATATGATTCAAAGCGGAGCTAAGCAGTTTGCTTGAGCTTCTTTGCTAACTTTAGAAGTCCAGTGTCTCAACTTTGAAGTATTTGAAAGAGACTATCCCTAATGTTCCGTCAAATGAATTACTTTTCTAACATTTCTTCATTTCTAACATTTCTTCAGTTGATTCAAACCACATAACCTTATGTGTGCATTTAGACTTTATTAGGTTTAATTTCACTCACAAATACCTACGCCCATATCATCACCCACAAGTACCCTTTCTGGGGTTTCTAATTTGCATTTTTTTCTTTTTTCTTTTCTTTTTTAGAGACCAAAAAAAAAATTGTAGGGGCTGGCTATGTTGCTTCGGCTGGTTGCTAGCTCCTGACTTCAGCAATCCTCCCACCCCCAGCCTCCCAAAGCACTGGGATTACAAAGTGTGAGCCACCACACCTGTTGCATTCTTTTATCTTAGTGAGGAGAGAATGATATGCTTTCTTGACCAAGTGCCTAATATTATCCACCACATTAGTCATTAAATTTACTGTCGGGAGTCTTTTCCATTTTTCTTCATGAAGATATTCTTCTTGGCCCTGACTGACTTCCTGTACAAATTAAGACTGCTGCAAAACTGCAAAACCTGTAATTTATTTACATTGGTCTCCTGTATTAGTTCCATGATTTTTTAACAGTCCATGCCTTCCCCTTATCCTTATTTTACCTTTGTTCATGTTCAGTTAATGTCCCAGAAAGGGTGGAAGTTACAGAGGATTTTTAAGGCTCTGTACATATCTTAATTCTTTCTTTGGTTCTCCATGTTTAATTGGTTAGCTAGGCATTCACTTGTGTGTTGAAAGGTAATTTCCATAGAATTTTGAAATCATTGTACCATTGTATTTTATCACCCAAAAATGCTGATAAGAACTGTGACATCAGAGGATCTTATTTCTTTATAGGTGGCTCCCAGTTCCTTGTTTCCCTACCCTCTACCCAAGGGACGCTGTTTGAATGATGTTTTGCTGGTATTTCATAAAGGTGAATTTAGTGTGAATCTTTTTTCCTTATGGTGTTGGATCCTGGATGAATCTCTCAGTCTAATGATCTATATCTCTTGGAAATAAACATGTTTCTTGTATTATTTTTCAGAAAAGTTATCCTGCATTTTTTCCCGTACTTTTGCTAGTCAAATCTTGCATTTAATGGCTTGATCCTTAGTATGTAATCTGTCTGTCCTGTTCTAGTGTTCTTGTCTGTTATGAATGTGTTCTGGGAGACGTTTTTGTCTTTTACAATATGATTTCATTTTCTAAATAGCATTTTTGAGTTACGAATGATGTACAAGAAATGCACATATTTAAATGCATCATTAATAAACTTTAGCATGGCGAAACTATCATCACAATTAAAATAGTGAATATATTCTTCCCCTCAAAAAATTTTACTAGCAGCACTTTGTAATATTTTCACTTTCCTCTAAGATTCCCAAACCTGTCTCCAAGCAACAACGAATTTGCTTTCAACAATTGTTGCACTAAAGATCAGTTTGCATTTTCTGAAATCGTATATAAATAGAATCAAATAGTGTGCACACTTTCTTCTCTTTCACTCAGAATAATTATTTAAGGTTCATCTGTGTTGTCGTGGGTACCAATAGCTCACTATATTTCATTAATGAGTCACATCTTATTTATGGATGCACCACAGCTTATTTATCTATTCATCTGCTGATCGACATTTGGGTTTTGACTCTTGTATATAGAGCTTCCCATAAACCGGGCTCGGTGGCTCAGCCTGTAATCCTGCGCTTTGGGAGGCTGAGGTGAGCGGATTGCCTGAGCCCGCGGGTTCGAGACCCACCTGGGCAACTTGGCGAGACCTCATCTCTACAAGAAATCAAAAATGAGCCGGGCGTGGTAGCGCGCGCCTGTAGTTCCAGCTACGTCGAAGGCTGAGGGGAAGGATCGCCGGAGCCCAGCAGGTCGAGGCTGCGGGGGCCGGGAGCGGCCGCTGCCCTCCAGTCTGGGCGACCGAGTGAGACTCCAACTCAAAAAAAAAAGCTTCCTATGAACATTCTTATACAAGTTTTTTTGTGTGTTTTTTTTTTTAATTCTGATGTACTTTCAAAAAATGTCAGTAGCTTTAATAGGTACAAATCTTTTTTGGTCACATGGATACATTGCATAACGGTGAAGAAGCCTGGGCTTTAGGTGTCCCTGTCACCCTCACTGGTGCACGTTGTCCCTGAGAAGTGACTTTCCATCCCTCACTTCCTTCCCGCCATTCACCTTCTGAGTCCCCAGGGTCCATTACACCATCCTGTAGGCCTTTGCGCACCTGGAGCTTAGCTCCAACTTGTAAGTAAGAGCGTGCAGCATGTGGTTTTCCACTCCAGCATCACTTCACTTAGGGTAATGAGTTCCAACTCCATCCGAGTTGTTGCAAAATACATTGTTTAATCCTTTTTTTATGGCTGAACAGTATATATCACATTTTCTTTATCCACTGATCAGTTGATGGGAATTTAGGTTAATTCCACATACTTGCAGTGGTGAATTGTGCTGCAATAAACATGCAAATGCAGGTGTCTTTTTTGTATAATGGCCTCTGCTCATTTGAGTAGATACCAAGTAGTGAGATTATTAGATCAAATGGTAGATTTACTTTTAGTTTTTGAGAAATCACCATTCTGATCTCCATAGAGGTTGTACCAATTTACATCCCCACCGACAGCATAGAAGTATTCCTTTTTCACTACATCTGTGCAAACATCTATTGTTTTTAGATTTTTTTAATGGTGACCCTTCTGTGATACCTTTTTAATGGTGTAAGGTGATACCTTATTGTGGTTTTAATTTGCATTTCCCTGATGATTTGTGATGTTGAGAATATTTTTCATATGTTTGTTGGACATTTGTATATCTTCTTTTGAGAAATATCTGTTTATGTCTTTTGCTCACTTTTTAATGTGCTTTTTTTTTTTTTTGAGTTCTTAGTAGATTCTGAATATTAGCTCTTTGTTGTATATATAGTTTG